AAAAAAAAAAAAAAACCTGCTTTTTTCTGCCCAAAAAATGTCCTCCAAACAGGGGCGCAGTTTTGTTGAGTTCTTTAAGAGTTTCAATAATAATTAAATCATGAACATAAATTGCAAATGCAAATCCCATATTTGTTTCTTTATGAAAACATATAAGCAAATATCGTTATTTTTATAACCTTCATTCAACACATATTCGCTAAAGTGATTATATCGCATGCATCTGGGTTGGTTCAATCTATATAATGATCTTTACAATTTAACTAAAACATAATTCTCAACATGTATCATTTATTCTTGGCACTTTAAGTCCTTCGAGGACTTTCATATATATGTCACTATCAAGTGAACTATAGAAATAAGTAGTTATTACATCCATAAAACGCATATCGAGTTTTTGTGACATAATTAAACTAATTAAGAATCTGAAAGTAATAGTGTCTATTATAGGAGAGTATATTTCCTCATAATAAATTCCAAATCTTTATGAGAAGCCTTAAGCTACGAGTTGAGTTTTGTATCTTATAATTTCATTCTTTTTATTTCTTTTCTGTACAAAAACGCATTTGTATCTTATAAAAATTATATTTTTAGATGTTCGAACTATAAGTCCAAACATTTTTGTATCTCTAATTCTGCCTGAATGACTTCTTTCCATTTATCGCCATCATTTCTATTTAAATAGTTTTTTAACGGACTGTGATTCAATAGCCCTATTTTGCATAGTATTAAGAGTCACGTTAAAAACAAAATTATTGTCTATAACAATATTATTTCATTTCCATAATTTATAAGATAACAGATAGTTTATTGAAATCTCGTTATTTTTTACCATCAATATTTGATTTATCAATATTTTCTATGTTACTTCTTTCGAAGTTTTTGGTTGATTTTTTTTCTCATACTTTCTTTTTTCGAGGTACGAGTTTTTGAACCAACTAGTCGATCACACTGCTAAAGTATTTAATATTTATTTTTTGTAATATATTTTCTTTCGGTGATATCAATTTTCGTTGAAATATTTTCTACCGGTATATATGACTTTATTAGTTTTCTCGTGTTAACAAATACATCAAGTAACGGATTTGCAACTTTTTGCAAATGAATTATTTTTTCAACCTCTTCTTCACATTGATTGCTGTGAGGATAAAAGTGAGGTAGAATTGTTTCATTCCAATAATTTTTACCATATTTTTTAAGATGTAGTTTTATCCCTCACAAAGTTGAAAAAGTTATTTCATCAAAATAACAATCTACAAAATACGCAGTAAATAAAATAACCCGTTAAAGGATCAAGATACTTAATAATAGATGATGAATCAAAACCAACATAAATTTCAAGTCTTTGTTATAGACCCATTTTAGTACGTTGCGAGGTGAAATAGGGACTTCGACAACATAATTGAAAATTCGTAAGTGAGAAATATTAGGTTCATGAACAAATACAAGTTGCAAATGTGAATAATAGTAATGAGCAATTGTCTTTATACGAATTAATAGTGTAGCATATAATATGGCTTGATCCCAAAGGACCCAAACAGAAGTTGGGAGTTTTCTTTTCATTAATATTAGGTTTAGCAATAAGTTGTAGAAATTTAATAAACGACTCCACTAAACCATTTTGTGTAAGGATGTGTGCAATTGAATGTTCAATAATCATTCTAACTGATATATCATAATTATCGATTGCTTGTGATCTAAATTCACCAACATTATCAAGACGAATTATCTTCATTAAGTAATCAAAAATTGAGCTCATGATTTTATAATTTGAGAAACAGTCTAGCAAAAGCTCCATTCCAGTGGAAAGTATGCAGACATGGGACCATCTAGTAGAAAAATCTATTATACCATAAAATAATGAAATGGTCCATCTGAGGAGTGTATTAGCCTACATATATTTTCATGAATTCTTTTCAAGAAAGTTGGAGATTCAATATTGACATTTGTAATTGAAGGTCTATTAACTAACTTACTTTGCAAACAAACTATACGTGGATAAAAGAATATTCTGGTTCTTTAAAAGATATTCATGTGAGTTGTTGATTATTCAACACATCATTATGACTCCTAGATGTCTAAGTCGATCATGTCAAAGTATAAAAAAAATTTTATCAACAAAATTTTGTTTCGAAAATAATATTTGATTCAACCATTTTTATTAATCTATAATACATGTCAGATGGGTGTGGATGAATTTTTTTATCTACTTCTAACCAGATATAAAAGAAATTATGCAAAAATATTTAATATTATTTTCTTACAACATCCAAATGTAATATTCATTGCAGCGAATATCTTTAAAATAAAGCAAATATCTTCTGGATTTGATAGAACAAAAGTGTATCGTTAATATATAATTTTCTATTATTTGGTAAAAAGTACAACATTTTCAGAGCTTTCAACGATATTTGATGCACCTGATATAATATTAACATTATTTTTCTACTAATGTTAAATTCAAAAAATTATTTTTTATCTTGAAGAATAGTATGTGTGTTGCACTATAAATCAAACAGGTATCTTGACCTTAAAAAACTTGAATTTGCATTCAAACGAAATAAATATAATTCAATATTAAGAAATTAACGATAAATGATAAAGTTTCAAATTTTGCGGGAAAAAAAATATTCAAGCTAAAATTATAAAATAAAGGAAAATACTAAAAATATAGATAATAAACTAATCTATCCCAATCAAATGGTCAATATTACCATTTGGATCAGTAAAAAAAATCATAAACATCCAAATCAGTCACATTAAATGGATCATCAT